AAAAAAATATTTCTGTTGGAGTTAGGGTTTCAGAACTCTATTAACTTGGGACCAGACCTGACCTGACACTGTCCTCCCTTTAAATACTTGTTTTATATGAAATTGTGTGTTTTTTTTTCTTTTTTGGCACAACTAGATTCAGAAGTGATGTATTTACATGAACATTTTTCACTCAAATCTACTACATGGCTGCGTATGTGTATTACATACAGAGGGAGACATCAGTTAGCATGGCGACATATATAAAGAACAGGTGTGCGTTTGGTGGAGGGGATTTTTGAAAGGGGGTTTGAACAAACATATCCATGAATGCAGACCATAGTTTTTGTCAATCACAAAGCACCAATTTGGACTTCCTTAATAGGGCTAGCTGTTATTTAACACCAAAGATGTAAAGAAGCTAGAGAGAAAAAGCAGCAGTCTTACCAGCAAACATCCCAGCAGCTCAAGAGCACCTCCATCTTCAGCCTAATCCAGATTTTAATTAGACTCAATTAGAAAGCATGTGCAAACCATCAACTGTGACAATGTTTTACTCTTAAATGGTTCCTAGGCACTTCTAGCCAATAACACAGCAGACATGGAAATTCTAACTCCATTAAAGTTGTCCCCTTGGGCTTCAGTTTAACAGTGATACTTAGACCTCACTCTTTCAGGAGCCAAATTAATGATCAGCATTACCCCCAAGAGCCACAGTAGTGTCAATTCATTGATTCATTTACTATTTAGATATGTATAATTCTCACAGCAAAATGACTGACCAAGTATTCCACAATTGGCTATTAACATAAAAGCATCCTGACTGATTAATAATTAAATCACACAATGTTTTAATATCATGTGCTGAAAAGAGCCACTTGTGGCTCCCAAGTCTCTGTCAGAGTATCACTGGTTTAACCTACCTGCATGTTCCGGTATTAATGAACCCAACAGCTGATGGACTAAACATTGTGTAAAACTCTCTCTGTGTAGATAACATTGAAACCAGAGCTGAGAACATAATTAAGAATAACTTAACCAGAAAAATAAGATTTAGTTTCTTTTTCTAGTTGTGAATTGACCCTTACCTTTAGCAGTTCATGATTCTCTTGAATTTGTTATTACAATTGTTTTCTTTATAATGCCTATGAATAATTCTTGGTCTGTAGTTTGATGTCTGAATAGTCAATGTCCAAAATATGAATGGGGCAGGTTAAATTTGATAGGACACATAAGTCCTATTGTAACTAGGGGTAGTTTTAGGGGCAGGCTATGAGGGCAGCTGGGCTCGGTGGCAACTTCTAGGGGGTGCCATACCACTTGGCTTTTTGGGAGGGGGGGGCAAAACACCTAGGGTGGCTCCTCATTGTACCCCTGTGGCCAGTGGTTTATCTGTCTGATCCATAAAGGATGTGAGACTGTTACAGCAATAGAGCCTGGCTCCTTAGCTCAAGCTATAGAGATTAGCATACTTTAGCTCTGAAGTTTGCTCGTATAGTCTTTCGTGTGCTGGACAAGGGGGTGGCTGCCAACATATGGTATAATAAATAATAACACTTGGCACTCCACCAGTTCAAAGGACTTTATGATCATTAACTAAGTCTCGCAAAACCTGTGTGAGATAGGTATGTAGTATTCCTATTTTACAGATGGGGGAACTGAGTCCGCACTGAAACCACTACTGCAACTAGTGAAAGAAGCAGGATGAGAACTCAGCACATTTGACACCTAGGCACTTTCCTCTGGACCACATGCCCACTCCATGTTAGGTCTTTTCCATCACTGGATAATCATAAATCTTCAAGTCAGAGTTCCTGTGTAGCCCCTTCATTTCTGAGTTACAAATTCACTTTCCATTTATTTTCCCCAACAACTGAGTAAAATTTGGTGTTTCAGCCACTGCTCTTAGCCTTAAACTCCATTGCTATGCTACTGACAGAAGGTGAAGGCAAAATGGCCTGAAATCAGGAGAACCAAATGACGATTTTGGGGAGGTGGGGAGTGTCTGGTTCCCCACTTCACACCATCTTTCAGATTAGCTCTCATTAGGACATCAATATATTTTATAATTATATTGTTAACATAAGTTGTTCACCCAGGGTAGCTCATTTTAAAAGCAGCAGAAGTCTGTGTCCTTCTCTGAGTTTCCTGCTTTGGATTCAATTTTCCAGACGGCTTCCACTCAGGCACAAGGACAAGTGACTTACCCAAAGGTCACAAGCCCAGCCAGGATTAGAACCTTATCTTCTCTTCCTCGATCAGTATAAAAAGCTGCCAAATAGCATTGCTGCTGAGAGCACAGAGGTATAAATATTAGAGCCTATTTAGACACCTTGTCAACGGTCTCGCAGCTCCCAGTTTATGGCAGGTGGAATCATAATAAATATGAAGGGGAAAAAACAAACATTAAAAAAGCAAGTTAATCTGTAGCCAGAATATTTTAACAAGGTAATTAAACCTGTGGGGCTGAGTTGGATTTCACCAACGCTTGCTTTTCTCCTGACACCCAAAGCAAGGCTTTTCGTGAGAGCAGTAAAGAGAACATTCACAAAGTGCTGGAGAGCTGCATGACTGCTCACATTGAGTGTCATGGGAGTCGCGCTGACATTGCTCTAACTATGGTGCTGATCTCGCGCGCTGGGCCACGAAACAGGCTTCAGATAAAGGGCTGCATGGTGGACACGGGGGATGGACTCATCCCTCCAGGCTGCTCTGTGGTTGCTTCTGCTGCCTCATCACTGCAACATACTTTGCAGCTGCTGTGCCTGCACTAGGTGGGTAGAGGACTGGCTGATGTGTTGTTGCAATTCCACAGCCACCCACCACACCTACGTCCAGATTATCTGTGCCAAGCCTTCTCATGGGCGCCTGATGGAGCACCTGTGTGGCACAGCTCTCCGGTCACAGGGGCTGCAGAGCCTATCTTTATGCTCGCTGTCTCCTACCCCCAACCATCTCATAGCAGCTGCACTGCAATTAGCGCCTTCTACAAACCTGACTTGGCTCAGGGGGTTAGACCCCTGGAATCGTATTCAGATCTACCTCACCATATCAGGGAAGGGAAGGGAATTTGAACCAAGAGCTTCTTCTAACATACATTTACATACCTAGACATAAAGGCACATGCACACCTATGTACGTACAAATGCACATACACTTCACATCGATACACAAATGCAGGTGCATGCACACATATGTACCGACACATCAATGGACACATGTACACGAACACACATATATACACATACACCTGTGCACTTGTTCAGTGAGGTAGCGCTTTGATTTTCTGCTAAGGTGAAAAACAGGGTTTGTTGTCCAAAACACTGGTTTTGGCCATCAGCAACATGGATGTTTTGAACCCAAGGTGGGAAATGATTTGTTATTTGCACAATAGTTTATTCACCCAGTTCTGGGTGGGAGCAAACCTGCTAAAGCAGAGAATTCCAGATTTAGACCCAAAGTCAAGTTGTTAATCGAATGCCTGGAGAACGGTGGAGAGCAGCGGCAGGAGTTCTTACCAAAAATGGCAAAGACAGCATTTTGCCTGCTTATTTTGCAGGGAGCAGAAATGATGCAGCATCAAGGTATCACAGTGCAAACACAACAGAGGTTTGCTCAAGGTAAAATCCAAGCATTTGAGAGCTGCTTTACCTCTTGGGCCCTCCCATCACTATTAGACGGTAAATTATTACAGCCTGCTTGTCATTTGCAGCGGGAAAAGCAGTTATGATAGTCACTGGCTCAATTAAATAAGGCAACCAGCAAGGTCATTGACAGCTTTGCGAATTGGGCTTTCTTTTTTCCCCTGTTCTATTTTTAATTTTACTGTTTCCCACCGGAAAGCTAAACAATGAAAATGGTGCAATGCACTGCTGTGAAATGACGGCTTCCTTGAACCCTTTCACAATTCAAGTCCTTGAGGTTCACACCATGGTGGCATATTTGATTAGTAACCTAGTCTGCAGCAGATGGAAAAGCATTTATAGCCTGGGACCGTTTGTAAATAACAATAGCTATGCTGGTGCTGCGCATGATGTCCAGGTGATTTACATACATGACTCCCTCCATGCACTGATGGGAGAAGCTAGTGTAGAAGAAGCCTATCCCTAGCACTATATCCAAGAAGGTGGGCTAGGTAAACTGGATAAGGGGGTGCTTCACCTCCAGGTCACAGGTTTGAAACTGGCACAGAGGATGGGACTTTTGTAGGAGCTTACATGATTCAGGAGCACAAATCTCATCGACTTTCAAGTCACTTAGGCCCTTTTGAAAATCCCACCCAGCGTTGTTCTCAGAAGACATCTATGCGGGGCGCTATGTGGAATGTCTTGGTGATTCCCATGCTATTGCAAAGTCCTACTCCTCACCATTTCCTTTTGCTATGCTGGGACCTAGCCTGAAGACCAGCTCAGAAAGGACCGTTTCCCCTCAACTTCGCTTCTTGGGGTCTCCACTTCCCTCTCCCACTGAATCCCTTCACCCCACACAACCATTATCTTGGCATTTTACATCTGGCCAATGCCTGCTTTCTGGAACCTAAACACGTTACCTCTATCATGTCCAGGAGCACTAATGACCACAGGGGAGAGAGAACCCTCAGGGATCTCCTGAGTTGGGGCTTTCTGCTCAGCGATGCAGCTGGGGGAATCATAGAATCATAGAAGGTTAGGGTTGGAAGGGACCTCAGGAGGTCATCTAGTCCAACCCCCTGCTTGAAGCAGGACCAATCCCCAATTTTTGCCCCAGATCCCTAAATGGCCCCCTCAAGGATTGAACTCACAACCCTGGGTTTAGCAGGCCAATGCTCAAACCACTGAGCTATCAAACCCAAATCCTTCCTTAATCACTCACATTCTGGGAGGCAGCAACAGCATTGGCGTGGTTTTCCTCTCTCCTGCTCTCTACAACAGCCCTCTGGGTGACCCCCACCTTCATGTGTACCATGCAGAAGGAAGACCCCTCAGGCCCCAGGGTCTTGTGCTAGCACCAGCTTTTGAATTAAGCAGATTGGAAAACGCAAAGATGGCACAATTACCTTCAAATAGTAAAATATTACTTGGGTGACATAGTGTGGACATTTGAGTTATACCAGGTGTGAAACACGAGACATGTATTGAGGTTAATGAGGAATACTCAATTATCTTGGCTTGCCCGAGCCGTTCAGACAGGAGACGTAACAGTGTTATTGCTCCCCGCACGTCATCAGAAGAGTTTGTAGATTTAGCGCACTCAGACATTTGGCCCTCACGGCATTGTTTGCTGGGTTCCATGCCTGGAGAGCGGTGCAAACCCTCCGTCATCTTGATTCTGGTCACACGCACCAGATGACAGCATGGGCTCTCTGTATGCCATGTGTACAGACTATATACAAAGGAGAACGTGCAATATAGCTTCATTCTAGCTGCCTGCAGAACACAGGCTCATTCACATCCATGAAAAGTGCAAGGATTACTTGGCATTTTCCGCTCGTCCCCCAGGCAACCATTTTTGTTTCCCTTTAGCATCTCCTTCCCCCACCCACCAGCCTCCCCGCCGCCTACGCAGCCAACTAGACACTTGTCTCCACTTTCTCTCCAAGGCTCTTCCACCAAAGTTTCCATCTTTGCAGTAAAACAATAAATACTGTACACACCGTATTTCAGTAGGACCGTCGTCAGGCCTCAGCCAGGACTCAGTGTTATTGAAAGACATTTAGGGATTGGTTCTGTGCGGTTCTTACTCATTGACTCTATAACTCCAACTGGCCACTAACTGCAGGTCTCACAGCTGACATCCCTTCTTCGACCTGGAGCTCCCCGGCCTAACCCTTTTTTTCTCTGGCTCCCACCTCACAATGAACAAGGGTGCCCAATGGTTTTGCTGTTGAGTTCCCAACAGCCTCTGCTGTGTGCCATGGCTGCTTCCGATGAAGCCCTTGTGGCTGGTTTTGCTCGATGACAGGCAGTCAGGACATCACCATGTCCCAGCGCTGACTCATGGCTGTGCTCTCACAAGGGTTGATGACGAGCTCTCTGGTGCTCTCGTTGGTGTCCCCCATCATTTCAGTGTCCAGGCAGAGGCGCGAGGCCATGTGTTCAATATGAGAACCAACTTTACCCCATCGCTGTGCAGGGAGACACGGGAAGAGGGATATGAGCGAGGGCTCAAGGGATGGCGCTAGCAGTATCAACAACTGTATAACAATAATCACCCTTTAGATATACTGCTGGCTCAACCCAAGCTGCAGCAAGTACCAGGAGAGGGCAGAAGATATTTGAACAAGGAAATCATATTCAATTCTGTTTGCCCTGGTCCTAGGAGGCGCTGAGCACCCACAGCTCCCACTGAAGTCACTGAGGACACTCCGCAATCCTTGTCAGCAGTAGGCATGTTAAGTGGTAGCCTCTTCCTAGCCTCCAGGCTTCAAAAAATAATACATCAACAAAGGTTTTCTCCTCTAGCTCTGTGGTTCAAATGCCACCCAGGACATTAACTCCTGAGACATGGTAGCATCTGATGGCTGGCTGGCAGCCTGTGTGCAATGAGCTGCTGGTTCCAGTTGGGTTTCTAATGGGAAATGTCCTCATGGCCAGTGGCACTAAGAGTCATGCTCACTGACACACTCGGCTGAGAGGCCAAGGATTGAATGGGCCATAGAGACTCCGCTGCCGCTAGCAGCTGTATCTCCAGGATCCAGAACACACTGGTGGGATGATGTGGGGGAAGCTTCTACTGCCATCGCCAGTGCTGCACCTGCTCTGGGGATAAACAGGACTCCAGCCTCCAGGGCTGTCAAAGACAGCAACAGATCAATCAAAGACTCACCTGTTTGCCGTCACCTTCTTTGCAGGGGGACAGCAGCACTTGGGAGCCGGGGAAGAGGGTGTACACTGACCAGCAGAGCTGCTGCTGGCGGACCTGATGGTTGTATGTGTATGTCCATTCCTGAGAGGAGAGAGAGGAGAAACCAGGACAAAATCAAACTCATTGTTTTAGCATCCTTTCACCTTGACAGGTGGAAACGAAACAGTTTGGCCCAGAGCCTGATCCCTTTTAAATCAATGGCTAAAATCCCATTGGCATTCGTAGCAGTAGGGACTTCTCATTTAGGGACTAGGGAGTGTCATTTCAGTTAGTTTACCTACTACTTTGTTACCACTACACCAATGATTGGCAGGGCAGAGCCAGTCCATTTGGGCACACGGGGGCACCATAGCTGCAGATTCTTGAGAGCGTGCATCATGAATTTGGGAATCAACATCTGCATAAGCCAAAGGGAGAGTCTCAAGACCTGGAGACAGCTGCTGGGAAAAGGCCCTGTGAGGGGAGGGACTCCAAGAGAATGAGGGGTGAGGACAATAGTGGTAGAAAAGATGATCCCTTCTCTCAGTAGGGGAAGAGAGACAGAAACGGTGCCCTCTCCTTTAAATGGGATAGGATGCTTCCCCTGTGGTGTGGTTGGGGGGAGGAGGAGGACATGATGTGTAGTAGCTTTTGCTAGTCACCTGGGGTGTGATCCAGCTCCCATACAGTTCAATGGCCAAACTCCCCCTGATGCCAGTGGTGCAGAAGGGAGCCCCAAATGTTTGAAGCGGTCACACAGATTATTAACTAGCTATGGGGTGCTGCCACCATGTCATTCATACTGATCAGAATCGCCTTATAGCTTCCCTGTTGTCTCCCACCCCATCTGCTTGTTGTAGACACCTGTGGTCTCTCATCTTCTACTTACATTGTAAGTTATTTAGCACAGGGACTGTCTCTTTGTTATGTCTGTACAGCACCTAGCACAATGGCGACCTATTTCATGATGGCCAAATAGATAGTAATAGTAATATGAGTGTGAGATGCCTGGGCTGGGTGGTGCTCCCCCTCCTATTCAGGAGGAATTCCTGTTGGCTTCAATGGGTATCCACAGAGGGGAGAGTCGAGTGTGCTAGTAGTTATTGGCCCATTAATGCCCCCCCCACTGTTTTTTGGCAAGCTTTCTCCCAGGAATGTTTCCCTCTCTGGGAAGGGTTCCTTCTATTCATGTCTCATCCATTGCTTGCCTCTATGTATATGTTAACCAGGAGTACATCCTGCAATGTCTCACCCACATGCTCAGGGTCTAACTGATCACCATATCTGGGGTCAGGAAGGAATTTTCCCCTGTGTCAGATTGGCAGAAACCCTGGAGGTTTTTCACCTTCCTCTGCAGCATGGGGCATGGGGCACTTGCAGGTTTAAACTAGAGTAAATGGTGAATTCTATGTAACTTGAAGCCTTTAAACCATGATTTCAGGACTTCAGTAACTCAGCTAGAGGTTAGGGGTCTATTACAGGAGTGGGTGGGTGAGGTTCTGTGGCCTGCAATGTGCAGGAGGTCAGACTAGATGATCACGATGGTCCCTTCTGACCCTAAAGTCTAAGTCTGAAATTGTCCAGGCAGAGATGGCTTTGTTCCACGCATGTGTGCGTTGATCGGGTGAGAGCTGGTGGGAAGTAGTCCACCATTGTGTGTATGGGGGTGGGGGGGATGTGAGAAAACCTGGATCTATGCAGGAAATAGCCCGACTTGACTATGTAAAGAGTTGTCACTTTGGATGGGCTAGCACCAGCAGGAGAGTGAATTTGTGTGGGGGGGTGGAGGGTGAGAAAACCTGGATTTGTGCTGGAAATGGCCCACCTGCTGATCACTTTAGATAAGCTATTACCAGCAGGACAGTGGGGTGGGAGGAGGTATTGTTTCATATTCTCTGTGTGTATATAAAGTCTGCTGCAGTTTCCACGGTAAACATCTGATGAAGTGAGCTGTAGCTCACGAAAGCTCATGCTCAAATAAATTGGTTAGTCTCTAAGGTGCCACAAGTACTCCTTTTCTTTTAACTGGATAGAGTAACTCAATGGGCACATTCTTTGCTTGTAACTTTACACTAGGCTCAATCCTCAATGAGTATTCCTCATTAACCAGCTTTTTAAAACATTAAGAGACAAGGAGGGTGAGGAGAAGGGAAATCAGCAGCAACTGGAAGTGGGTTGCTGAGAGGGGTTGGTAGCGGGGGAAGGGACTGGTTCCTAAGGGTGTAGTCACCAGCCAGGGGAAGGAGCTGGAGGACATGAAGTGGAAGAGCACAGGTCAAATAGCTCCAGGGGGAAGCTGGAGGATGGGGCAGCTGTAGTAGTGGGAGAGTCAGCAGTGGCAGGGGAGGGGCTGACAAAAGGAATTAGGAGGCAGCTGTAAGTCAGAAGCAATGAGAGAGGCAAGGAAACCTCTAAGGAAGCAGGCAACAAGACAGGAGAGGTGGGAGGGAGCTGATGTTAACTTAGAGAGAAGCAGGGAGGAGCTGCAGCTGTTTACAGATGACCCAGTATATGAGAGGAGATAGACTGGGGTGGGTCAGTGGAGAAGCCTCCAGGGCTTGGAGCAGTGACTTCCAGGCTGGTACTGGAAGATGGAAAGGCTGTTTCACAAAGCCCTGCAACGCTTTGTTAATGTGAAGGGAATTAATGCAGAATGAATGGCCTGATTTTCAGAGGTGCTCAGCACCTGCAGCTCCCATTGACTTTGATTTGTAAAGGTTTCAGGCCGCATTATTTTGCATTATTAGAGAGAAAGAACACCTTCTGCCCCCAATAGTGCAACCCAATAGGGTCAGCAGTTCTAACCCCTTTGATACGAAGATAGACAGCAACAGGCTTTTAGCTCTTGGGCACACAAATTCTGTTTGATCTCGGCGTTTAGCCAACTAAAAAGGAAAATGTGCATTGTACAAAAGGCCCAAACCTACAAAGACTTTACACTTTGTCTCACTTTTCTGTGCTTCTTAGGACCAGCATCCACTATCTTCTACCAGAAATCAAAGCTAGCTGCTCACATGGGCTGCCCACAGGCTGGTCAGAGAGGGCTGCCCAGGATTTCAGCACAAGCAAGCAGCATGCAGTCTGGAGACGTATGCTGCGCCCAAAGGGCCTTGTAGCAGCTCATTTTTCTTTGTCAGAGTTCGCCTCATCTTACAGCTGTCGAATTCCAACCATTCTACCGTTCGTGCTGTCAGCTGCTGTGCAAGCGCCCAGCCTGGGAACCTGTGCGCCAGATTAGTCCCACATCTGTCAAGAATCAAGCCCCCCGGGGCCAAATCCAACACCTGTTCTTGATGCCTGTACCTCCCATAAACTGCTCTGAAAATTGATGTCACCCTCTTAACCAATTCTCCTTTTAAATAAAGGGGGGCCCAAGCCCAAACCATGGCTCTGAACATGCCTAACTCTGGGGGAAGTTAACTTTGCACCTCCAGCTCATTGCTCTGGGCCAGCACTGATTCACAGGGTATTATCTTACCAAACAAGTAGCCCCATTGGCTTCAACTGGACTACTAGAAAAATGTACTATCCCAGTGAGTCATCAGGAGCTCCTTTCTATACTACAACCTCCCCTATACACACCTCCCCTCTAAATGGGACCATCCTCCCATTTAGCAATATGGAAAGGGTGACCCCTGTGATGAGATTCTCATCTACTACTCATTGTAAGGCACTAGACATGAGCCCTTTATAAGCAGGTTTATACGGTAGCAACACAATAGGGAATCCTCAACCGGTTCAAAACTGTGATGGGGGAAGGAGAGGGGCAATAAGAACCAGTTTCAAAGTCATCATGACCCAAGCCCCCTTTCTTAAAGATTGAATTGGTAATGGGAGAACATAAGAATGCTCATACTGGATCAGACCAATGGTCCATCTCACCCAGTATCCTATCTTCCAACAGTGGCTGGAGCCAGCTGCTTCAGAGGGAATGAACAGAACAGGGCAATTATTGAGTGATCCATCCCCTATCATCCAGTCCCAGCTTCTGGCAGTCAGATGCTTAGGGACACCCAGAGCATGGGGTTGCATTCCTGACCATCTTGGCTAACAGCCACTGATGGACCTGTCCTCTATGAACTTATTTAATTCTTTTTTTATCCCGGTTATTCTTCTGGCCTTCACAACATCCTCTGGCAATGAATGCCACAGGTTGACTGTGTACTGCATGCAGAAGTACTTCTCTATGCTTGTTTTAAACCTGCTTCCTATTAATTTCAGTAGGTGACCCCTGGTTCTTGTGTTATATGAAAGAATAAATCACACTTCCTTATTCATTTTCTCCACACCAGTCATGATTTTACAGCCCTCTATCACATCCCCCCTAGTCGTCTCTTTTCAAAGCTGAACAGTCCCGGGTTTTTTAATCTCTCCTCATACGGATGCTGTTCCATACCCCTAATCATTTTGTTGCCCTTTTCCAATTCTAATATATCATTTTTGAGATGCGGTTACCAGAACTGCATGTAGTAGTGAAGGTGCAGGCATATTATGGATTTATATATTTGCATTATGATATTTTCTGTCTTATTATCTATCCTTTTCCTAATGGTTCCTAACATCCTGTTAGCTTTTTTCACCGCTGCTGATGAGCTTTTTTCACCACTGTGAGCAGATGATTTCAGAAAACTATCCACAGTGACTCCGAGATCTCTTTCTGAAGTGGCAACAGCTAATTTAGACCCCATCATTGTGTATGTATAGTTGGGATTATGTTTTCCAATGTACATTACTTTGCATTTATCAACCTTGAATTTCATCTGCCATTTTGTTGCCTAGTCACCCAGTACAGTGAAATACCTTTATAACTCTTTGCAGTCAGTTTTGGACTTAACTATCTTGAGTAATTTTGTATCATCTGCAAATTTAGCCACCTCACTGTTTACCCCTTTTTTTCCAGATCATTTAGGAATATGTTGAATAGCAGTGGTTCCAGTACAGATCTTTAGGGGATCCCACTATCTACCTCTCTCCACTGTGAAAACTGACTGTTTATTCCTATCCTTTCTTTTCTATCTTTAACCAGGTATTGATCCATGAGAGGACCTTCCCTCTTATCCCATGACTGCTTATTTTGCTTAAAAGTCTTTGGTGAGGGATCT